GAGAGAGAGAGAGAGCGGCCGGACACACACGCGGATTAAAGCCTCATGGTTAAAAGTTATTTACAGCGGGAGGCCGGGCGCGCGCGGCGGCTTAACGAGCCCTTGAAAAAATTTATGCGCGTCTTAAAACTTTCTTAACCAGGATTAATGCGAAAGAAAAAGAAAGTTTCCGAGCCGCGGCTGATAGGCCGCGGATACTTCGCCGGAAATGACTTACGTCGCGGCGCGATGTGCCAATTCGATGCCTCGTACGCCGTAATAATCTAAATTAAGTTCGCGAGACTTTCTTGGCCGCGCAGTTCCCTCACAGAGTCCTCACGGGTCCTTCCCGCGTGCGTTCACCGTTATCGAGGGGATAATAATGCTCCTCCCGCGGCGCGAGACGAGAAAGAAGACATGAAAAGACTCCGAGGGACACACGTGTGCCCTCTCGACGTCTTCCTCGAACGGACGTATCGCATGTGTGCGGTCCTTGAGACTTTACGCCCAGCCATTTCACGAAGGATGTGACGCAAACGTGATGCGAACTAACCGCGTTGTCCGCGAAGATTTCGGAAGATATATCTCTTTGACGTTCCCCTTTTCGCCGCGCAAAGGCCGGACCGCGAAAGTGCGAAGATAACGCGGTTGATAACCGCTATCTTACGTGTAGCGTGCATCCCGCTTGTTACGGAATGATTTCAGTAACATTCTCGGAAGGACTGTTGAGAATGATTTTTTTCTTCATTCACTTTACTATATAAACCACACCTACGTTTTGTTTGGGGATTTTATACCGACATATTATACCGACTAAATGCATTAATACGCAAAATCGATTGTACTGGATGCATCAATTCATAAAGTCACGTATTTATGAATTTATACATCCATCAATCGTTATGTTTATAGATCCCATGAATTCATATGTCTACGGATTAATGACTCAATAAATCCATAAATTCATACGTCCATAGATCGCGAGATCCATCAGTCCGTGTAACCATAAATTTATAGATCCGTAAATCCATTGGGATTGCTTCATCCATATAATATACGAACTATGACTTTATTGATACATGAATCTATGCTATTGTCGAGCCAACAGTTTTCTAAATCCTTATCTATATACAATCAATTGCTTTCGAAAGTAAATAAAAAGATTATCAAAAATGATAACAAAATTCTCGTCGTTCTTCAGGATACATCGTTCGCATTATACCTCATTGCAATTAGATATAAATCACGCAGTATAATACAATTGGATGTAATATCGAATAAAGAGACTTGTAGGAGTCGTGCACCAGTAACAAATCGATACAAAAGCATTCGCCACGCCATCCCGTTGCCCATCCTTCGGGGCGCATGAATCATTTATCAGCCTCGATCTCTGATCCGAACCGAAATTGTCCGCTTGACGATTCAATCTACATTCACTTAGCTGCTAAACGTCTACGGTATCCTTATCGAGTCGCGCGGCCAGGACCGGGACAGCCGTACGGCGTGTCTTATCGCAGCTGGATCCTCATTTTACGAGTCACGGCAATCGTAAATACGACCAAGAAACACGCGCTCGATCGGCAGAAAGCCGTGCGACGCGTATCGTGAGAATCGTTCAATCAAGCGCATCCAATTCGATTCGCGAAACGAGGACCAGCCGCGATAAAAAGTCATCTCGCACCGCAGAGAGAATAATTTTATCTCGACAAGGAGATACTTGACTTTAATGCAGACCGGACTGTTAACGCGAATTCGAGTCGTTCGGAAAGATAGGCTTGAACGATAATTATTACAAATAAAAATGCAAGAGCGCACCTGTGTGCATCGTAAATTATATCTCTCCGGGAGTTTTAATACATCGCGGAGTACCAATTCTAGCGCGTATTTGCAAAAAGTGACCAGTTAATTTCAACGGTCGCGAGATAATTTCGTATCTCCTGAATGTGAATTGAATTCCTCGATCGAAACCAGATCTCTGGATTAGCCAAAGAAACTGCCATTATTTCGTACGAGCTACATCTGCTACAGGCAGTATCATTTTTGCGTTATGATGATATTTCGCCGCGATTCGATCCCGTCCGAGCGCGGAAGGCGGCGATTACAGATCTCGATGGATCCGCGTGCGGCGTCGTCGTGCGAGGCTCGTTTCTCTGCCACTGCAGTGGTAACCTTAAACCGAGAAAACGAGCGTCCTCGGGCACGAACGCCGCCGCTGCTGGCCGACGGAAATGAAATACGGGTGAGAGACGAAGGCACGAACTTAATTTAGGTTGTTATGGTCAGGCCCGCCGTACTCACGCTCGCCAAAAGCGCGCTGGCTGGTCTCAGGCGATAAGTCATTCCCGTCGACGATAAGCCCGTCCCGCAAAACGGCGGAGGTGCAGTTGTCCGCGGACAAGTCCGAATTAAGGTTTCACGAAGAAAAATGCCCGGGTACGCGACCGTTACCGCCGGAAGGAAAGAGATTTCGCGACGGAGAGCGCGGAATTTCATTTTTATGGCGGCTCGCCGTGTTGTAAAGTACTTTGTTCCGGAGACATCATTGCCACAAAGCGGTTCGAGTTTTTAAGTGGGATACATTTTTTTTTTTTTTTTTTTTTTTAGAAAAATGTTCCTGTGAATTAATCTAAAAAACGAAATATTCCGCTTGGCAAAAAATAAAGGAAAAATTCAGAAACTGTAGAATTAATTACTGAAAGATCCCACGAAGCGAAAATTAATCAGCTGTTCGAAACGAAGACTGTGAGTATCGCTATCCTTATACATTCGCCGTCTTCTCTCTCACGTGTTTCAATCTTGACGGAAATAATGAAACTTGGACGAGATACTTTATAAGGAACCGGAGGGCCGGTCGGAAGGTGTGGTCCCTGACAGACAGCCAGGCGTTGGTCTTAAATCCAAAGCCAAGCGGCGAGCAGAGCCCAGATCCTTCACATCCTGCGAACCACTTAGTCAACGAAAGAACGTGCTGCCGCGGGAAGATTCTTATCTGGTGTTTGCCGGAACGCGTCGCTCGTTAAACCTCTGATGCACTTTGGGGGTCAATATGTACACAAGGTACCTATAATTTTCTTATCGCATGTGTCAATTTAGGAATATTGACATACCGAGATCTTCATTTCATTCTTGGTTGCACGCCCATTGCGGATGACCGATGTGAAAATTTGATCGCCGATGTCGCTTTATCACATGAGATGTTCGTATAAGCTGAGTAGTTTGTTCAAGATTGAAGAAACAGACATGTACGTCAAGAAGACTTAAATTGCTACGTAAAGTTCGTGAATAATCTTTATCTAAATTTACTTAGCAATCGATTATTTTCATAATTGAATCAACATTTAAATTATGTACTTGTTATGCATTATTATCAATTATTTTTGCAAATTATTTGGTTTATTTAGAACAAAATATTAAATATCAATAAACTTGCATTTTTTTAACAGTTTTATTACATGGCGAAATTTTTAACAAAACAAGACTCTCCATTTAACGCAAAGAATATAATATTGCGCTTGCAATATCATTTTTATACGAAACCTTCAATTAATGCCCGAAGCCCGAATGCACAGTTAAGAATATTCCACTCAACGCGTTGCAAAGCTGCAATAAGCGATTGATCAGTTGTGAGCGCGGTGTTTATGCCTCGCGGTCTCCGCCGACAATTACGGGTTTGAAGGATGCGTCATGCCGATAGGTAGGCAAGGAATTCGTCCTTCCTCGAAGGAAGATTCAAAGATGACGAGAGAAACAGCAGTGCCGTGGCTATTGTCCAGTGAGAGAATCGAAGAAGAGGAAGCGTCGGTGGAATGAACTTAGGAGAAGAGGGAGGAGGGGATGGAGAAAGAAGAGAAAGATGGGGGGATCACCCTCGAGGGCACGGCATAAATCGCTATGGACAGACAGCATGTTCGACTAATTACAGATCCCTGATTACCGACGGGCGCGACCGCGGCCGCCTAATAAAGAGAAAATAAATTAATAAACCTCTAATATCGTGGCCGGCCGATCTCGCCTGTGATCTGGGATAAAAAAAGAAGTGTTTATTAATTTATTGTGATCGAGGCGCGATAAAAGCCGTGGCCACATAGGCACGTCGAATCAAAAGATTTGAAAATGTTCCTCGCATTGCGACGACTGGAACCGGATCCGCCTTCGTAACCCTTCTCGATCTTCTGTCTATGTTAATGTGACTTCATCATATCGTCACATACTGAAAATTTATTCCTCCTTCTTACATTAATGTCAAGAATCGTGTCCCCATGCATTATTATAATCTATACTTCATCTTCAATATTTTTTTACTTATACTTACTTAGCAGAATTATTTTTAAAATATGAAATAATATACAAATATATATATTATGCATATTTCTATTATTTATAACTTTATGATAAAATTATTTTTATAACAAAAAATTGAAATAAATATGTTTATATTCAATTAGTAAAGGAATGGCTAGTGAATCAAACAAGATCAACTTGTTGATTTTCAAATATTTTTAAACTCTTTTTTTTACTTATTCAATTTTTAATATTCTGAGACTCTTAATTATTTGTAATTTTATATTTATATTTTTTTTTTTAGAATTGAATTTAAAATAGAACATAAAGTAATCTCATATTTTTTGGTACTTGAGAAAAGCGAAATATTTCTTCTGAAGTACATAAATTATCTCGCTAAGTCAAAAAGTTAATTAAGTATACAAGATTTATCTCCGATTTCTCTACTGGAACGTCTCAATTTACCTAAGTTATTTTCAAATCAGTAAATAAGCTAACTTTCCCAATGATCCTCTACGCCGAAGATTGAAGCATCAAAGAAACCATTGACGAGAATCGGTTTACCACGCGTGTCGAATGGGCGGTGATAATGCAATGGAACGGAGACGAGGTCGTGGACTCGAAGGAGGAGAAAAGGAGAGATAGCGGAACACGGTCAACTTCCGCGTGGGCCTATCTTGGGCCCGCAAAATGGCGGCGACAGAGGCGTTTGTCCGTTGTAGCAACCTCAGAAGGATTTATATTCACGACGACGAAGATTCAACCGGAGTTACCCAACGAGGCAGCTGGGACCCATAATGGACTGTGGCGAAACCGGGCCTTGAGTGTGCCCGCGGGGGCGTTTTCACGGGCAATTAATGCGGCCTTAAAGGAACCGCTCGAAACGCCCCCGCGAAACGAAACTGATTCACACCTCTCGATTAAATCGAAGCCGTCATTTGTGCACGTCTAATCGTAACGAATTAACGCATAAGCATTATCAAAGCCGTGATAAGAATACAAGATTTTTGGTAAAAAAATCTGGTCGAATAATTTATAAAAATATTAATATATTTTTATACAATTCTCGTAGAAATCTATATTAGTTATATAAATTTCTTATTTATTTCCTTTTTATTTTTTGATATACGATCCATCGAATTAAAATATTATCTTTCATTCTACAAGGAACAAAATCTAATATCATTATAATTACATAGTAATATATAATTATATAGTAATAATATGTTTATTTGGTTTTACTCACAAGATTTGCACCATTAGTTCGTCCGATGATTCCGGAGAATCTTCACGGAAAAAGTTGAAACATTATATTCAGCTATAGCGTATAGCTACGATGCTCAAAGAGGATGTAATGCGCAATTCATTATGTGTAAAACCTTAACGACATTATTAGAACAAGATCATTAAAGTTTAATTATATTATCGCAGAAGTATTATTAGATCGCTGTCCGAGCGAAATGTGACTCGGTTTCTTAATAAGCAGATATAATCGGCGCGCTGGTGGCACGGCATACCTCAAAGGCACCGATATCGGATCGTTAGCGAATCGGAAATGCGTACGTTTTTAATGATTGAGCGAATCAAAGTCATCGCGGATGAAGAGCGCGGAGAGAATGACTTGCGAGATCGAAAGCACGGCGGCAATATTAATAGTTGGCTGCCGCAACAAATATCTTATGGGCGATATAAATCGGTCCATAAGTCGGGATAGTTACACTGTTTAATCAATTAGCGGAATGCGACCGGTTTTCAAACGCATGAAGAAAGACGACCGATCTTCTTCTCAGGATTATAGTTGAGCGGCTGATATCTGAGCGGCTGGACCAAAGGATATTTGTAGTTTTAGAGTCGGTTGAATCAATAAGATAAAGAGCGGATTTGATCGATTACGATTAAGTAACTGTTATTTTAAGAGATATCCGCTTTTCATATAAATTAATCAAATTTATATAAGTAATGATCTTTTAAACGATATATAAAAATTGATTGTTACTTTGCAAATAATAACTATAAACTGACATGAGTCAAGTAAATCAAGTAAATCAAGTAAAAATTTGCACAAAAATTAAATAATATAGACAAAATATCAATTCGCTAATGATTTATTTACAATCACAGTTTTTTACAATATCCAAATTTTAAAAACCTGTTGAAAAAAATCTTTCTTAAAAGCAACTTTTAAAAAGAGCTAAGAGTAAAAATACTTGTAAGTATTTGTACAAATATTTTTTGTAAATGTTACGTGAGAATAAAGATTTCTGATATTACGATGGCGAGCGAGCAAACTGCCTATTCTAACTGCCTAATTTGTGCAAATAGCAAAAAGTTGTTAAGCGATACGCGGTGGGTAGCTGGAAAAATTACGAGCTTCGCGCAATCCAGCCGAAGGCTAGGGCCATTACTTTCATTCAATATTATTATTGCCCTGAGAACGTCTCGAGAATAGTGTTTGCCGTTCCACTCGCGACGGGTAATAGCGTCGACCTTGCCGATCCCGGGCGCATTTTAGCACGGCGATTGAATAAACGTGGAATAAAGGTGTCATAACGCGAGCCGATGCTAGGATGCCGACGTTTCGTCCTGTGAACTTATCGGCGCTATTTTCCGCGGAGCTGCCTCGTTCGTGTGCGAATTACGATCGTGCGCCGAACCAACGAGAGTTTGTCGCGAAAAAATGCGGCTGCTGTGAGAAGACGGGACTCAGAGGGACGAGGAATAAAGCCGCTACTTCGAGATGAAATCGCGCACCAGGTCGCCGACACTGACAAAAGTGGCACAGTATCGTACAAGTATCGCCTCTTTAGATCTCTTGTATAAATCCTCTATATATAGGCGATGCAAGAAGAATTTTAACAAAAGTTTGCCAAAATATTTTATGTCGATATCCTGCATTTGCGTCTTTCCTAAACTCGCATGCCGCTGCAGCATCCAGAATAAATGATACGTAGTACGAAATTTTGTTCTCAATCTTTCTCTTTAGTTCTCTTTAGGAGAATAAAGAAGACCAAATTATTCAACAAAATCTGTTTCACAAAAGCAGGTCTAAAGTCGCATTTTGTAAAGACCAGGCATGTTGCAAATAAAATCCTCAACCTACACGAAAAGTCACGATACACGCAGGAACGTATTGTACATCGTGCAACGAAAAGGATTGCGAGATTAAATAAGGATGCGGTCTTGCCCGCGTGACCTGCCATTCATATGCTAAAATGACATTCGGGATCGGTATGCCCAGACGATGACGAATCCGGGCGTGTCCGCGGATCCGATCGGAGACCGTGACCGCGACCGATCCACCGATCATGATCATTTTTCAACGCGCATTGATCGGCACACTTGTCAGGAACAATGAGCCGCCTTCATAAGAAGAATCCCCGAAGTGAAGACACGCGGCCACTTTCCGGCCACTTCTGAAGTTCGGGCGATACGGCGTCGCTAAAGCAGACGCGTCGATTATCAGTATAAATGCATTATAGTAGACGCATATCGAACCCGCCAACATGATGGTTGCAGCTGCCAAACCTGATTGAACTAAATTTTATTCCTCGCTTAAAATTCCAAGCGGAACTTAGCGGAGCTTCACTATTGAAAATTTCATAAACATTTTTATATTCCAGATTGTTAACATTTTAAATATAATGACAATCATATCTCTAATTGAAATATTTTTTTATAATAATTATAATATTTTATAATTAATCTATAATGATTAAAAAAGCGTTGCAATTCATTTGCACATTTCTAAATTATTATTCATAAGTTTTTAATGCTTGATCAATTTTAATTTGAAAGTGGCGTGATGTTCGAAATATTTGTTATAGTACGTTTATGAAATAGGCGTGTCCATTTTCGCGGTACGGCGTGAAATCAATCGGCTCGCGCGAAAATCATCATAAATTGGCGCCGATTGATGAGCGACGTAGCCAAACATCGTGGCACATTCGCTGTCAGTCGAGCAGCCACGCATAAAAATGTCAGCCGCGAGGGCAGTCGTATAACAATCGGGTCTCGAGAAGAAATCCCGAACCCGCATTCCGCGACCAAAGAGGAGTCCGCGAGAGAAAAGCAATCTGCCGGGAACGACCTACGTACGCCTCTTACATTAACCCTCGACTACCGCGGTTAAATTTGGGTAACGTTTATTGCCGCCGAGATCTTATCCTTCGAATTGAAGTCAGACGCCATTTGCAAGAGAGACAAACGTACATAATACATGAATGTTTTATAACATAATGTAATACATAATATTAGTAAATTTTAAATTCTCGAAAAGGAAAGAAGATTTTGATACTAATATCAAAGAATAGATACTTCGAATTTTTTTTCTGAATATATTTCAAGCTAAAGACACGTCAAATTTTCTTACCGCCAAGTAAATTAATTTAAGATAAGATAGTCGCCGGACAAACGAATAACGCAAGAAAGCCCACAGATGGGAATTGTCGAAGGCCAGATAAAGTCCTTCCCTCATTAGATGCGCCGGAGACGAGGCGATTTGGCGCAACGTTTAAGAGAGAGCCCGATGAGTAATGAAGGAGAATGAAGGCGCTAGCGTATTTGCCACGCAGCACGCGCAACGCCTCCATAACAATGGGACCCTCGCGCGAGACGCGTGGGTGCACCACCGTGCGTTTATTTCGCGGAGACAGCGCGAAATCCCTTGTTTACAGCCACGTGGCGTGGGACAAGTGTGTATCCGCGTCTTGTGGGTCTCTCGCATCGGCTCTCGCTACGGCGATTATTTCCCTCCTTCTTACCACCTCCGGATATCGTCGAAACTCGAATTAAGCGCACACATCGAGGAGCGTGGAGTTTATAATTTCCTACATCAAATGTATGAATGAATGAGTAATAAATCGACATGTAAAAAAGGGAGAAGGTATCATGAATAAAGAAAAAAAAAATTTGCAAATAATAATAAAATATTATTTGCAGATTTTGTTTGAAAAATGACACTTTATCTTAAGATGAAATTTGGAGATAGGAAATCATTTTAAGAAATTTATACTTTAAAATTATTGCTGTTTCTCACGTAATCCGGATAATGCGGGAGAAATAATATTTTTTATAATAATAATAAATCCCGGTTTAAAGCCCATGGATTTCTTTTTTCTGAAATTGCTCAGCTCATCTGCCGGTTGATGTCTGTGAGTGTAACAGAACAATTATAGCAATTTTATGTCCTTCTATCTTTACTCACTGCGGGCTATGAGTTTACCTTTCAAAACGGTGAATAGAGACATAAGAACAATATCGGCATTAAAAGTGAGCATCGTATGTCATTCTTAGCGCACTCGTGGTAAGTGAGATCATCATAATTTTCCTCCGCGATAGTTGGCCTAAACTGGAAACGCCGTAATCCCGTGAATGTGAGCACGCTCACGCGAGTGTATATTCGCTGTGAATATCTAGAAAAGATACTCACATCTACGAGACGCACACTAATTTAGAGACTTTGACGTTTAATAATGATAGTCAACATCGGAAGATGCATGACTATGATAATGTAGGATAATGCAAGGCGGATAATGTTCTGAGAGTCAGCGAAAGACTCTCGATCTTTCTAATATCAGCCTTATCCCAAGCTTTTCTCGCCAAAAATCACAAATGCATAGCAAATGCCATGTAATCTTGGGTGTACGTGCCACTTTCTATAAGTATTAACGTAATTTTAACATTCCTTATAGGTGAAAGTACGACATATCTAGAGAAACTAAATAACGTCTTGCGTCTTGCAATAAAAAAAAATAGAAGAAATCTTGATGCAAATTATTACTCATAATTTATCGGGAAAATTCAGAAAGAAACGACTTCGTGCTTTCAAGCGTTTATTATTGTCTTGCAAATTTGGTATTTCCGGTCGTTTTCGAGATTCACGATCTTTTTGAGTCACCTTTCGCCGATAAGACGTCAGGGCGGCGAAAGTCGACGATCCGAAACCGAAAACCA